ATTCTGATCATTCACATAAACTTATAGGACCATTGTCTGCCAACCCTATATATGATCCTGGATACACTCCCACTTTCATAGTCATACCTAATTGTTTAGCCTGTCCACCTATCTTTCCATCCATATACCCATGTTTACCTTCACTGAGAACTCAGTACTGTATGTGCAAAAGGGTTCATATTTGTTGTCTGTACTTCCCATGTACCTCTCTATGTCTTTCTCATCCTCAATGCTGTCATATTGGTCACTCACATTTGGTACATTGCCTTTCTCTTCACCCAAATCAATATTTGTCACTATCTATCTAATGGCAGGTGGACCTCCTTGAGGAGATGTTTTGGTTGTTACAGATTATCCCTTCCAGAGTCTGCTCCTCCACCCGTGGCCTGACCAAAGGCTTCCACACAAGAGAGTGTCCTTTTTGAATTTAAATTAAGGTTGAGGTCTTGGTATTGTTTGATAGCCACCTTGTGGCTAAGACTCAGGTTCCATGGTCATGAGTCACTGCCTATCTGGACCACCACCTAGCCAGGTAGTCAAGGCCCAGAACCAATCCTGTAACACTTTTCTATCTTCAGTTATGTACCTATCCCAATCATGGTGTTTTTCCTACTTCTGTAGTCCTGCCTGCAGCAATGATGAATCTATCTACCACCAATCATGATTTTGTGGTGATTCTCCTTTTTTTATTTAAATCATATATAATTAACCACATGGCTATGACTCAGCCGACTTCATTCAGCTTTCCCATGCTGATGGTTTCCCTCATTCAGGATGATTCTTTGATTTGTCTTTGTTCTGTCCAAGGTTTAATAAAAGTGTCTCTATTGAACCTGTTTGAATTTGGGGTTTCTTTTCCCCAAATACAGGGTGGCGGGCAGAGGACAAAGCCAATTCACTTGACTCTGTTACTTTTGAATTTATGCTTTTAGCTCATTTGAAAGAACGTCATTCTGAAGTAGTGGGACATAGACATTGAAGAATATTAGGGAAAAGGATGCAATTTTTTTAAATTAATTATGGAGACATATTAAAATTAATGTTGTAAGTCAATATTATTAAAGAAAAAAATGACTGTGTTATTAGAAATATCTGTAACTTTCGTTCCTGCCACATCTTTCTCCTGTGGAGCAGCTGGTATATTCAAACCACTGACCTGACAGTTAGCAGCCAGGCACCTAACCACTGCACCACCAGGGTGTCTTTCCTCAAACCATGGCAGGAAGCAAAAATGTGGTGTTACTTTTATAAAGTAATTTTATGTATCATCTTCTTCTGTGTTTTTATTTTTAGGACCGGAGTAGGCCTTATGACACTTTTAACTTGCACTCCTTGGAGAACTCTTTAATGGATATGATAAGGACTGATCATGAGCCTCTGAAAGGTAAACACTACCCTCCCAGTGGCCCACCAATGAGTTTCGCTGATATAATGTGGAGGAATCATTTTGCAGGTTAGGAATATTCATATGTCCATTCCTTGCTTGGTGTTTTAAACAAAAATCAGCTTTTTAATAATTGTGATTTTTTTTTTTAAATATTCGTTTGTTTGTTCATTTTTGTTTTCTTTGCCTTTGTAAAGCATTGTGGAATGTATTTAAAGTTTATTTTATTTTATTTTATTTTTTTAAACCCTGGGTTCAGCTACCTAAGATAATCAAGGTGATCGTTTTAATCAGTAGTGTCTGGCAGAAGCATGTACATGGTAGCTGAAGTCAAGGTTATAGCATGAGACCAGACAGAAGCCAAGTTTTCTGCGCTTTGTGCATTTGGGATCCTCCGCTGAATCTGGATACTTCATTTTAAGTATAGGTGCTGCAAGGAAGTATGAGGGTTAATAACTAATGTCCAAAGACCACTTCAGACACTTTCATACAAATGGATTCCACTCATTGTCATTCTCCTGGTACAGGAAGTAAAACTATACCTGAGAACAGCCAGTGATGCTCTGTATTCCCTGAAACTGGAACATAAGGAAAAAGTTATTTTTTTATTTCTTGAATATTACGTTTCAGGCCTACCATTTTTTAAAATATTTTTTTATTGTGGTAAAAATTTTCCATATTTTTAGCAAGATGGAAGAAAACTTAGAAAGCCTCTAATATAACCTCATCTCTTTATAGATACGGACACCAAAGTTTACAGAGGTCACTTTGTTTGTTAGCAGTGGAACTAAGACTAGAAGCTGATCTCAAAACTCCCCATTCTCTATACTTTGTATTTGACTCTCTCTTTTTTAAATATGATGTTACTTATTTTGTTGTTGTTGTTGAGAATATACACAGCAAAACATAGACTTTTTCAACAGTTTCTGCATGTACCCTTTAGTGACAGTGATTTCATTCTTCAAGTTGTGTTACCATTTTCTAAATTGTTTCTCCTCCATTAATATAAATTCACTGTTCCCTAAAGTTCCTATCCAATCTTTCAAGTTCCTATTGTCAATTTGATCCATAGATAGTTCTTAAAAGAACATAATGCTCAAGGCACACGTTTTAAACTATCGTTTGGTTTTAACAAGACTTCAGGGGGTATTTTTGGTTTAAGGTTTAAAGATAACTCAGGTCATTAGTTTCAGGGGTTCATCCCACCTTCAGGAAGTCTCGAGTTTAAGAGCATATGAAATTCTGTTCAGCATTTTCCCACTTTTGATCAAGATTCTTCTATAGAATTTTTTTTTAACTTTATATTGTGATTTGGGTGTAAGTTTACAGAGCAAACTCCTTTTCCATTTAGCAGTTCCTACCCATTTTGTTTTATGACACTGATTACAATCCCCACAATGTAACAGCTGTCTTTCCACTTCCTCCCTATGGTTTTCCTCCCTATGGCTACAGCAACCATTTTCCCTATGGTTTTCCCTGTGTCCTCCTTTCCTACCTATATCCTACTTTCTGAGCTTTCTCCCTGTGTAAATGCTGCGCTTAAGATCTGTGGTTAATTGTTCTAAGAGTGCACCTTGTAAAAAAAAAAAACACACACAAAAAAAACAAACTCACTGCCGGCGGGTCAATTCTGACCCATAGCAACCCCCTTTGGATTTCTGAGGCGGGAAGTCTTTACGGAAGTAGATTGCCCAGTCTTTCTTCCGCAGAGTGGCTGGTGGGTTTGAACTGCCAGCCTTCTGGTTAGCAGTCAAATGCCTTAAGCACTATGCCACCAGTATACCTTATAGGCCTGTCTATTCTTTGGCTGAAGGTTAAAGCCATGGGAGTGAGTTCAGTTCCAGGCCCGAAGAGTAACTAGGGGCCATACATAGCCTTGGGGGCTTCACCAGTCTCTACCAGACTAGTAAACTTAGTCTTTTTTTTATGGTTGATTCTTCTTTACAATCTTTGATCAAAATATTGAGTAATGACAGCCAGGCACCATCCAGTTTTTGGGTTTCCTGACAAAGGAGGCACTTGATCATTGAGGCAATTAGCCACACAATCCATATGCTACAAGGAAAAGGTTTTAAAGTGTATAAATATTTTGGGTTAAATATAAGGCAGAAGGTCACAAAGTCAGAAATAGTAGGACTTCCTATTTTTTAGAGTCCCTGTAAAGTCAGAATACATGCTTATGGTGCATCCATAATTTCAGGTAATTCTTTTTATAGACTTTAGGGATTTTTAGAGGCCCTATGATATTTGTGAAAGTACTGTGATGAAAATTATCTGTGGAAATATCCTCTCTACTTGTGTGTAGGGTCTAAATATCTGAAAACTGTGAAGAGTTAGCCACAGGAATGCCTAACATATATGGACTCTTATGTCCTCTGGAGTTGTGAGGAATTTGATCCTTTCTGGTTCTCTCCAGGCCTTAATATAGGGTGTGACTGACCGGGAAAGCCTGACATTCATTTCCTCAAGCAACACCAGAAATCCATTTCATTATTTTCTTATCACACTTGTGATTTTCTGCTGCTTTCCTTAGTTTCCAGTGAAAAGAAAGTAGTTAACAGGCTATGGAGGAAATAAAAGGACTTAGGGAAAAGCAATGTCTTAAGGCCTTCAAAAGTAGAAAAAAGAATCTTTCATTTATTCATTGTTGTATTTAGTCACTGTTACCTTTTTCCCCCACACACACATACACACACACACATAAAAGTTAGGGTATATGATAATTTAAAGCATATTTCACTTGAAAGTGAGAATGGTGTTAAAAAAACCAAAGATACTTATACGCTGTTTGGGCTTTTAGTATCTTCTAGGGCTTCATTTGTCTTGGTTCACTACCCTGAATAGCTATAAAACCCTGAACCCACTAGTCAGTTCTGACCCACAGCAACCCCTCTAGGGTTTCCAAGGCTGTAAATCTTTATAGAAGTAGACTGCCTCATCTTTGTCCTGCGGAGCATCTGGTGGAGTCAAACCACAGACCTGTTGGTTAGCAGCCTGATGCCATAACCACAGTGCCACCAGAGCTCTCTGAATAGCTAAAAAGCCTCTCCTGATGATTCTAAAATATTTAGCCCCTATAGGATCACTATGACTCAGAATTTACTTGATGGCAGTGGGTTTGGTTTTTGGTTTTATTCATTGTGCATACGTAGAAGAGCATAAAAAATTATGGAAGGATCTTAGATTATAGCCTGTAAAATGGTTATCCTAAATTTTGTGAACATTGTTTAAGGAGGGGCTATCTTGCCTGATTGAGAGTAGTAGTAACAGTGTAAGGAGGGTACGTCACTATGGAGTAGTGTAATACCATATTCCGTTTGTGGTGGCTTTTTTTATTGCATGTCCAACTACTTCTGCATAGTTGTCTCCAATATTCTTGCAAATGTGAGGGTTCATCTATAAAAGCTTGCTGAGCTGTACTTTGAATTTGGAAGGCATTTGACCTGTACATTTTTAAAGCCTCAATTTGGTCACAACTTCCCAGTTCATCATACCACCCACAGTGATTTCCTATGAATGGACTACTTTCGCATGGTCAGTTGCATCATCATGTCATTGTACGGTAGTCCTCGACTTACAACACGGCTCCTTTTCAACTACTCCATTGAAAGTTGGTTCTGACATAAGTCAGTTCTTATGGAAGTTGAATACCTTATTTTTTTTTTTCATTATTACTGCTTTTTATTACAGTATTTTTATAAATCTGATCTTTGTCTTTGGGGCTTGCCATATCAGCAAATTTTGTGCAGCAAAATTAGTACATACTACTAATGATAAACTATACCTCCCCTAGAGTGTGTCTGAATATTAAGTAAAGTCCCCTGCACTAGAATCTGCTCCAGTGTTATCTACTATTTTTTTGCTGGAGATGACAGTGTGCCTACTGCCTGACCTCGGTAATAAATTAAACCTTTATTACCCTCTGATATTTACTTACATCCTCCCAATAACAGCTAAATGTTGGTATTTTTCAAATGCATATTGTCAAAATACTGTATTTGCCTCAGATGTGGGTATTGAAGGATGAATATTCTATCACTTTTTAAAAAGGAGAAAGGAAAATAAGTTATGTTGACTCTCCAAAATTGTATATCTGAATAATGTAAATAAAATAGCAAATTGACATAGAATAAAGTGAACATGGTTAAGTGAGTTTTAATATGAATAATATTTCATCTTAAAAATATATTCACTAAGAATATATTTAACATTCTCTTGATTTAGGATTAAAAAGTGGTTAAGGAGAGATTACAGCAACAGGAAGTTCAGGAAGTAATGAGACTTCTATTTGAGTAAAATAAATAATCTTTAATAGTTTTTCAACCACGTTTGTGGTTGAAAGGTCAGCCTTGAAGACCTTTGTAGGACATTGAAAAGATCTCCTGCTCCTCCCTCTTGATAAGAGGATGTAATATAGAGGGAAAGTCAAATTGAGCTTTCTTCAGAGCACACTGAGAAGTGTCTTCTGTTGAATTGATCAGATCATGTTGTTGTTGTTGTTATGTGCCGTCGAGTCGGCCCCGACTCATAGCGACCCCTCCTTGGGTTTCCAAGGCAGTATCACTACGGAAGTAGGATTGCCCA